TTCGGGTTTTGGGGGTGGGTTTAGGGTTTAGGGTTTAGGGTTTAGGGGGGCCCATGCATCCAAGACTTCCATTATCATTACTGAAGGCGTCTGCTCTTTTCCTACAAGATGTTGGCTCCGTCTACAAGATGTTGGTTCCATGTCCAGCCCCCACATGCAGATTTGAGGGATACCACCATGATGGGCAAAAGCATTAAAATAACCTCTCATTTGTGACTTCTATTCTAAGTACCTGCCAAGCTTCTCTGATTCTCTGGTCTGAACCTCTGCGAGAAGCCTTGAGCATGAACTCTCTGCATCAGAGCAGGTTTCGACTTAAGACAGTTGATATGGATCCCAACATATGGAGAGATGGCATCTTTTGCCAATCTGTTCTTCACCTTTTCCAACTTGGGACTACTCCTCGTCGGGTTTTGCAATTAAAGGACCACTGTTTTAAACCCTAATCTTATGAGCTTATAAGGCCTCTGAGATGGCAAATCGTGGAGCAATGAAGGGTTCAGGGTGGACATGTAGGGCGGGCAGCAATGAAATGGAGGAGTATGTGATCGTTGGAGAGATTGGTCAGTTTAACAGCCCAACATAGCGCCAAAGCAGGATCACTATTCATGCGCACTGGCAAGGTCCACTTGATTTGTGGTTCCACTTATGGATCTGGTATTTGCAGTCTTAGAAATCACTGCAAACTAATGACTTGCAATGATAGATGCTGGTCTCTGCTGGCAGAGTCTGAAATCCGAGCGCTTCCGGAGTTTTAGGCCTTCTCACCAACTTTGAAATCCAGACCCTCCCTGTCCGTCGAGCTTTCAGCATACAGCTTTGGCTTTGGCGGCTGGAAGCGTTGAAGCCCAGAACCCTTTATCCAGAGCTCCTGTTACTGAGGTTGAATTACTACTACATCCAGGGATTTAGGCCTCAGGCTGGGGGGGGGGGCTGTCTGAGTTGGCCGCAACTAGCTTGTTAGTGCGTGGCAATATGTCCCCCTGAACCTGAGCCTCAAGGTAGAGGATTTGATCCATGAGCATCTTATGCTTGGTTTACACCCATACGAGTCTGTGGAGGTCAACATTGAAGCCCGAAGACATATATAGCCTTTAACAAGCCCAACATAGTTGTTGTTGTATACTGACCACCCGACCTTTTTGCCGTGTAATTAGAGGTTTCCAGGTGCTAAGTCTGCTGGGACCATTTGCTTGCCACGAGTTTGCACACGGGGTGCTGAAGGGGGATGGAAGGAAGCTCTTCTTTGGGGCTGAGGTGCGTGACTTCGTGCATGCTAGGAGTGCTTGCTGTCCCCAAGAAGGGTCCAACCCACGCAAGTGTGCCACTCATGTTGCAAGGATTCCCTTCTATCACCTTCCAACAGGGCTTAGCAGGTCGGATAAGCCGTGGACGACCTATGAGAAATTGCAAGCCTGGTGAAACCGAACACTTGTGTCCCTACCGAGTAGTGTCTCTTTTCTTTCCACTCCTCTCTTACCTACATCCTCCAAGCCCTCGAACACCCAGCGCAGCCACAGACGGCGCCGACTGCAGACGCGGAGAAGTCCCTGGGACTATGGAAGCGCTGCATACAGGCTTCCTGGTTCCCAGGGAGCCCAATACCCTTCAATTAAGGAATATACCTGAAAAAAATTAGGGATACTAATCGTATCTAAGGTAGATGCATTATTTAAAGGGTATTGGGCCCTCAGGGTCAGCGCTCGTCAAATTTGCCGAAAATGGCCTTTTGTGGCCTTTTGGTTCCCAAGGTAAGGTAGTTTGCGAGGAGCAGCAAGAGTTGACGTCGTGGTGATGCACTGAAGCCTGCAAAGGGAATGTTGCAGACCACCCCGAAATTGGTATTGATTTGGTAGCAGGAAAAGAGTTGCGGGGAATCAAACTTTTCCCTAAGCCTGGAACAGAGAAGCTTTTGCAGAAGTTTCGTCTCCCGGTGTATAGTTTAGACAATGCAGCAACTAAACTGCAGAAGTACAGGCAGGCTTCAGTCTCCCAACCCAATAGTAATACTGAGGAATTCTCCAGACAGCTTCGTGAATGAATGCTCAAGAAGCTTGTATAGATGTCGTATGCCTTTTTAATGATTACCTGGGTTGCTGTTAAGGAACTTAAAATGAAGTTACCATAACATGGGTAGTATCTTAAGTTAAGTTCCTTAAAAGCAGTCCAGTCATTAGATTGCATCTGATTGCTTCTTGGGGTTTAAGCTATGACTCCTATGGGAGCCGCTGGCACCCTCAACTGCGGTATAGGGTTTACTTACCTTTGGTGAGCTAGGAATGAAGGAATGGATCCTTATAGTAGTCCCTATGACCCCTCACAGTAGTTTGCGTGTTCCTTTCCATTCCTTCATTCCCAGCTAACCCTAAACCCTAAACCCTAAAAGGTGAGTTTACGGTCTACCGACTATAGATCTTCCAGCCCCAAGTCGGGAACAGCTAGACCCTCCATTTGAGCTGTAGTCTAAACTCCTTAAAGGGGGTTATATTAGGGATTATATAGGGAACTACTATAGGGGTGATTTGAAGGGGGAATACTAGTAGTTTAGACCCTAAACTCTCAACCCTATATTATAGGGGTTATTAAGAAGGATAGTAGGGGGC